GCAATACCCTCCACATCCATCCTGCTGGAGAACACAAACAAGCTTCTTTGCCAACAAGGAAGAGCCAGAAGAACAGCTACCAGAAATCCTAGATACCTAGAACAATGCTAGGCAATTAGCGCACCAGATCTAAAGATCAACTGTGATGGCCTTGGGTATCTTTGACTATTAGCAAGACCCTTTACTATAGCTGGAATTCCAAATATCATTGTTTTCCTCCCCGATAAAACCAAAGGAGGCTCCAGTACTCCAGATGAGCGGCAGCACTAGCAAGAATCATTTGTTAGTAATTCTGTCAAACCGGTCCAAATTAAAGCCTGTGCCCCATTTTCAGCCTGTTTCTCTTTGGCTTGAAACGGGCTGGGACACAAGCAACAGAGAACAATAAAACCCGAATGGCACCTATGAAGAGTAATTCACACCCATCCAGTGCCCAGAGGCTACAAGGCAGAAGCTCCTTCAACACGGATTTAAAGTCAACAGAAGTTGTAAAGGCATAATGCCATCCAAGATCAGGTATACTGTGAACTCCGCTACAGTCAAAACAGTTTCAAAATACTGCACTGGAGTCCAAGAGTGGTTAATGATATCTTAAGTTGCCCCTCAACCTACACAAATAGCGTTTTCAGTTGGTTATATACTCTCCCTTTCAAAATCACCATCATGAGGCTGAAAGGAGAAGGAGCTAAACAAGACAATATACAAAAATAGAGAATGCGAATATAAAATGGTTCGGTTAAGAATATCTTAAAATTTGACATTCACAGCGGTTAACACTAAGGTATTAAGCTCACACCATGCAAAGGAGGAGGTATGTCAAAATCATACTGAGAAAACTGGCTTTACCAAACACAAATCATGAACAGTTAAATATAGCAAGGGAAACCCTTCCAATAATCAAAACATATATTTCCTATGGACAGTTGCTCCACTGACAAAGTTAAATGCTTCCTTACTAGGAAAAAATAATATATTTTTTAATATATATATATGTTTTATATATATATGATTTGTATACTGTGATATCAATATACACTGAAAGTACTGCAAGGATATATTATTCATTTACAGTAAAACTAACAATTCATGGTTAAATTTATAGTTTATAAATATGCTGTCTATATTATATGTGGTATAAAAATATTTGACATTTGTGGGCACTAGGTCAAAATATTTTTTTTAAGGGACTAGAAATCATTCAGGTATATGCATATTACCCTTGTCAATCACGTGAAAATCACACTGACCTGGTATAAAACAGAATCCTACTGTGTTGGCAAAATGAAGAAAGCAAAGTATAGCATGACACTCACTTTATGACAAGGCTAATTAGGGGGAAAAAACAAAGAATTTACAGCAGCCTAGTTCTAGCAGTACTTTAAATAAGGATATTATGATTTAAAGTGACATAGAAAGGAAAAAAGGACATAGAAAGGATAGCAAAAGCTATACAATAAAAAAAAAAAAATCAAATTTTAAAATATACCCAATGAAATCATGGAAATTCCAGAAGCAAAGATAGCAGTTTTGTAAATGCATTTAAAAAAAAAAGGGGTGTATGAATTTTAAAAAAGTGTGTGATTATTTTTCTGGATTCACCGCTATGATTGCTGTATTCCAGTAGAAAACATAAAGCCCTTTGTGTAAGGTTAATATCTGTCCTGACTGCGTTTTCTTCAAGTTTAACTTTAGTTGCTGGCCCTCTGTAGTTAACATAGAGGTTATTTGGCTACTTCCAAGTATCTATGGTATGCTGCTCTGAGACAGACTTCTTTATTATTAATTACTTTAAACATTTTTGGTATTGATAAACCCCACATCTCACCTCGCTGGACAAGTGACATCTCCTGGTCCTTCCGTTTCCTTATGTGCTCAGTCACTTCACTGGATTAAGGCATGTTTTTGTGTTCCATTTGCAAAAATAAAAACTTTTTGTACAAATGTCTGGGTCTTTTTTTATACAAAAATTTCTCTTCTTATGGCACAAGCAGCAGTTGCTGTTTAAGAAAATATATAAATATCCTTTTTTTTTTCTCTTCTGTACAAATATCTCCAGTATTCCTTCACCCCATTTAATAACATTTATCTGTACACTGTCCTGCCTCGCCAAGGGCTCCCTCCCCCCTCCCCAGCAGAACATTTCGTATTTACACTTTGGCGGCAGAGGCAGGCAATGGGGCAATGGAGCGGGGGGGAGAGGGGGGGGACAGCCCTCACGAGGAGTCTGTGCAGGGGGACGGTGGCGGTGGGTAGAGGTGGTGAGAGTAGCTCCGCTCCGTGTATGGCGAGGGCGGGCAACTTTCATAGTTCTCCTCCGCTGACAGGTACTGGCTGCGCGGTGTCGGCGGCGGGGGGACCGGCTGTCCGTGCTGCAGGGCGTCGTGGGGGGCGCAAAATGCCGGTAGCTGTAAGGCCTGTAGCTGCAGCAGGGACATTTAGGGGAGAAGCATCAGTGTGCGGAAAGACCACACGGTCTGGGCAACACGCCCACAAAGAACTGAAGCTGCAGATAAGCAAAGGCGGAAACGTGCAGCAGGTCAACCCTGCTGCAGTGGCCACAGAGCATCCCATTCCTCGTTCTCGGACGCAGAGCAAACTCGAAGCCCCCTGCAGAAGGCCCACCTTCGCACGACCCCCGTCAAATTACAGTAACTAAGGCATGCTCCTACTCATTATCAACAGACAACAGAGCCCTTAAGGCCCCAGCTGAGGTAGGAAAAGGTGTCTCTGAGAGAGTGGGGCGGGCAGGGTACAGTGGGAAAAACCCCAGCTGTGTTGCAATTATATGGAGGAGACGCTTTGTTTCCATTACCCAATTTATGGATACTACCTTCCAAGGCAAGAGAAATATCGAGAAAGAACAACAGGGAGAGGGAGAAAGGGAAAAAATTAACTGGACACATTCATAGCAGGCAGGAGAAGCACCTACCAGAACGCAACCGGGATGGAACTCGCAATGGCTGCTACCAGAAAGCATTTGTAAAGGCAGCCCAGGATAATATAAAGAAAACAAATTAGAAAGGAAGGTGGGCTGGTAGCTGCAGTTGCCAGCCCCGAAATCCGCAGCTGGAGGTGGGTGGGATGCAGCTCCTCTATATGCAAGTCAGGATGTTAGGAAAGACCAAAGATCAGGAGTGGCAAAAACAGGGTTCGGTTTTGGGTGGGGGAACAGTCTGAAACCATTCGTTCCCACACTACAGCCTTAATACCATTAATACCATTCAAAGCCACACAGCTAACCAGTGATCAGCATTATTCAGGCTGGTGCCAAGATGTGGCTTTATTTCATTACAAAATTACTAACCATTTTTAAGGATTTTTCATACGGCTGGAAGGGACCATTATAAATATCTGGTCTGACCTTCTGCACAACAGAGGCCATATTTTCTGTTAATGGAGAAGAGATGTCTTTTCAGCCCCAGAGACCTCATTATCCAAAAACCCCAAAGGCTCTGTGTTAGGGAGGCATTTCTTTCAATAGATAAATACAGCTACCTCTTCACATTGACCAGATCTACCAGCAGTATGGGAGGGGACCTTTACACCTCTGGGTAGTAGGTCTCCTTTTTTTTAATTCTTTGGTAAACAGTTAAATAAATAACAAAAAGGTAACAAACTCTAAATCTTAGAGGGAAGGTGAGAAAGATACATTCAGGTATACAGGAATAAAGCCTACATGTCCATAAATATTTGCCAGAGGGAAAAAAAGCAGAGGGTTAACAACCTGTTTTAATCCTAAATACGCCAAATCAGAATTTCTGTGCTTTACCTAGGCCATAATATGAATGCTACTTCTGAAATAGTAGCCTCTTAGTGTATGTACATCATTCCTGATAATTATGTAACAATTTTTTTATGGCAGAGACTTAAAACAACATAGGGTTCATTCCAGGCTAAATAATTTTGTCTCATAAATTTATCATGACAACAATTCTTTTTGGCATTTAGATAACTTTGTGACAAAAGTGTGTGCTGATATTCCCCCTAATGCGATATGCCCGAGAGGTGTACCACTAACCCACTTACTGCACGATTTGCCTCAACTGTACTGCACTTCCACACACGCTCCAGTGACATGATCCAAGTGACAGAATTTAAGCACTTATTTAAGTACTTGCAGAATTAAGGCTTTTGATTGTAATTCTTAAGGAGCAGAGTCTGTCTTTATTCTGCATTTCTACAGTAACTGCTTTCATCATGATGGAAGCTATTATAATAATAATTACCTGTAGGATCGATGAGTGGATGGGCTGTTTGAAGAATAACCAAATTCCATGGTATAATGTGAACGTTCAGTAGCTGGTGATGGTGGTGGGTTCAAAATCTAAGAAAAAAGAGTCACAGTTTAAAAAAAAAAATGGAGAGAGAGAATCAAGAGAACACCAGTTTTGTTTTATAGGCTTTCTTTTTAGTCCTGTTGAATAGGAACGTTAAGTTCAGCACCGCATGCCTGGCCCCTCCTGACAAACAGGATTTTTCTACTGTTTATTCCTCAATTCTTTAACAGATACCTCCCTGGAAACCCCTGTCGTTTCCCTTCCCAGTGAAGCTATTACTAAGCTCTTCTCAAAAACGCTGACTGCTGTTGATATTTTGACATACCCAGTCCTGAAAAGTAAAGCCGAAGCTGCCTGTTCAATACCAGACTGTCACTAGGGATACTACTGCCCTAGGCGAACTGGCAGATGTCTGCCTCTGCTAGCATGCAGTCCCTAAGTATTATGCTGTTTACAGTATTTGCAGTTGCTGTCCAAAGCAAGCATTTGTTCCCCATACAGTTGTACTCTTACTACACAAACAATATTTTGATTAGAGTGATTTAAAAATATAAAATAATGGGTTGACTCTAAGAACTGAAAATAGTTTTAGAGTTCAGCCTGCTCTGACTGACCACGTAACTTATTAACATTTGATAGTGGCTTTGTGTATTTCCTATAAAAATAACTCAAATAACCACAATTGATGCTAAAATTAAAGGGACAGTGAGCCCTTTAGGATAGGTACCAACTTATAGCATCTAGCTCAGCACCCTCTTGGTCTGTGACTAGGGGAATGCTATGGAGTCACAAGACAGTTGTGTACTTTGCAACGTGACCCAAAAAAAACAAGTTAATTTTAATTCCTTCAAAGGTTTATACTGAATGAACCACATGGCCTTACCTCCAGAGGCACATGGCAGAGTATAATGAAGGGAGCTTGCTCTGCCAGTGCTATTCAACATTCAGAGGGATTTTTTTCGTCTCCCCAGACGTTCAATCTAGTATCTTTTTCTGGCACTGAGCTCTCTAAAGCTTAAAAATTAGTAGAAAATTCCTATGCTGTTTTGGAAAAAGACAATCCCCTCTCCCTTCCCCTTCAAAATCACTTACTCCACATTCAGATAGATTTATTAGGTTAGAAATCTCAAACAAAACATTCATCTGTCAATTAATTATCCCCAGAAAGGCACTGGCACTTCACTGAAAGCTATTCAAGGTCTATGAACAACAGAATGACTTACTGGAGGAAAGTAAGTGCCTTTGGTACTTGAAGAACTACTGGAAGAGGCTCCAGTGACATGGGCCCTGTCATAGGGTGGCCCACTGCTCCCCCCCATAATGCTGAGGGAGCTGATCACAGATTTACCTCGAGACATCCCTAAAGAAGAACAAAGATTCACGTATGTCAATATTCAAATCTTGGAAGCAAACACACAGAAAAAAGTTTTTTGTTTTTTGTTTTTTTTTTTTTAAAGTCTAGACTATATATAATAGCAGTATAAACATAGAACTCCTGAAATTAACCCTTTTGGTATTAGGAGCAAATTCAGCACTCCTTGATGGAAAACTGGAATGAAGATGGTAAGTGGATAAACGTGCTGATTTTGTGTATCGGCTACTGAGCCACAGACTTGGCAATGGGCTACACTAAAGCTGCGTGAAGACAAATAGATTCCTTTCACTTGAACAGATGGAAAAGACTTGAGAGCACAGGCATTCAGGCACTATTTCTATGCCTCAAAATAAAACACGAAACTGCCTCTAACCACCTCAACTAAGGAAATGAAATTTGTACAAGAGAAGAGTGGGTTTGTTCTTTCCTTTCCGCCCTGTAAGTAAGCTTTTGCCACTGGACTGAAGCATGCTGGCAGAGAGTCCAAGCGGGAAATGCAGAGGTATGCAACTGTGCTCCAAATAATGGGGAAAATTCTGCCCAAATACCTTCTTATGAAAGCAGGTTATTACAGAAAGCCAAGAAATTTGGTGCATTATTTTAACCCTATAATGGCCACACAAAATGTGTATGTTTTAACTTGAACCTACTGGATCCAAAGCCACAGCTCAGAGAACATATTTAATCACTATATACAGAAGCAATGCATATAAATTAAGTGCAATATTGCAATCAAGTCTTACTTATTACTTATTACTTACTTACTTACTACTGCTCACTTAAACAGCAGTAGCATCATGCAACTGTACTGGTGTTGGAAACTTTATCGTCAAATGAAATAAGCTGAGATTACATGCTGCTCATTACAGACTTTACAAGAAGTTCCGCGAGCACACTAGTCCCGTCTACAACTCTGACAAGAGTAATTACACTGTCTGAAGACCCATGAATATAAATCTTCTCTTTCTCTGTTACTTTGCTCTCTACTGTCCTGACACTTTGCTGGTGCTAGCATAATAGACCAAAAAGAGGCTTCTTTAGTAGCAAAGGCAGAACACTCCCATGGTATGCGTATCTATTTGATCTTATGATTCTACGTGCCAAGTATCTACGTGCTTGTGGATGGCATGGGTTACAAATAAAATAGCAGTTGATCATTATAATGAAGGACGGCTACAAGCCTTCACGTTCCGGTCTTCCAACAACTTGGTGTCAAGAATTATGCATCTGGAACAGATATCTACTATGCGTGTATGCACAGTACGCTGAGCTACAACTACATGGTGCCAAAGGGCAGGATAAGGAACATGCCGTTTACTCACCAGGAAGAGACCCTGACAAAGAGCTTGGGTGAGGCACATAACCAAGAGGCACAGAGGCTGGTCCGTGCACCACATAATCATTGGTCATCGTTTCCCCGTCGCCCTTCATGCGTGGGCACAGAACCCTCTGGCAGATGAAGTACATCGCTCCAACTACAAAAACAGTAAGGATCACTCCAATGATAGAGCCTATCGTATTGTTGGGCTGTGGCGCAGGCTCCTCCGTTGTGTCTAAAAGGAAAAAGGAAAATCATATTGCAGAAGCTGATCTAACAACTTCATGTACCAACATTAGTTTTTGTAACACCTTTCCACAGAGGAAAAATGAAAGCCTCCACTTCTGTAGGCAGCTTTCAAATTAATACGCAGCAGGAACAGACGAACACTGGGACAGGTCTGTCTGAATGCTCTGAAAGGCTATGAGTACCACCCGTGCACATGAAAAGCTCCACAAAGGCACA